GTTGGTTGGTTGGTTGGTTGGTTGGTTGGTAGGTAGGTAGGTAGGTAGGTAGGTAGGTAGGTAGGTAGGTAGGTAGGTAGGTAGGTAGGTAGGTGGGTAGGTAGGTAGGCAGGGAGGTAGGTAGGTAGGTAGGTAGGTAGGTAGGTGGGTAGGTGGGTAGGTAGGTAGGTAAGTAGGCAGGTAGGTAGGTAGGTAGGTAGGTAGGTAGGTAGGTAGGTAGGTAGGTAGGTAGGTAGGTATGTAGGTCGGTAAATAGATAGGTTGGCAGGTCGGCAGGTAGGCAGGTAGGCAGGTAGGCAGGCAGGCAGGTAGGCAGGTAGGTAGGTAGGTAGGTAGGCAGGTAGGTAGGTAGTAGTCGTGGTGGTGGTGGTGGTGGTGGTGGTGGTGGTGGTGGTGGCAGCAGCAGCAGCGGAAGCAGGTCGTCAATGCTGCTGCGGCAGCAGGCAGGAGTTGACATAAAGCTTCCGGCCCCAGCAGCGAACTGAAGTAAGCTTCAATCAAAGGGACAGGATCTCAAGTCGATCGCGCTGTTTCTTCTCGGCGGCCTGCAGGCTGAAACATTCCAAACCATTAACTGGACTGTTCATGAAACGCGCCAAGGACAGTTTGCCATTGAGCAGCTCTTTGGCAGCCATGCATACATCAGAAAGAATTCTGTGCAAACCACCTCACGGCACCACTACACCCAAAGGCCCCCGTAGTCTCACTGCGATTCAATGCTCTGCAACTGCATAGATCCATACAGCCCTTGACACCGTCCGTTTGACCACAAAGCACTGGTGCATGCAACCTCGGGAACTGGCCGCGTGTCGAATCCTCCTATGGTCCACTCCACGGCCATCTGCAGAGCCTTGCCATGTCCTAAACCTTAGGTTTAGGCTCGCAGGTGGGCTCCCATACAGTTCAGAAGCTTCGGGAGGCTCGAGGTGCAATAAGGACTCTGAGCAGGACCCTGATTTCGAAGAGCCCGATGTCCACAAGGAAGAGCTGGAGGGTGGATATCGATGCTGAAACGCTTAGCATCATGACCAGCAGAAAGGACGACGCTGAGATGTTGACCCTCGTGATCTTTCTATATTCATCTTCAAAAAGCGAATGATCTTGAACGAAGCACGACTTCCAGGCCACTGTCTCAAAAATCAAAGCCGCGGGAATCTCCGACTGTTCGCCTCGCTGCATAGATTTCGCTCGATGCTTCGCAACGTTGTGTGATCTGGGTAGGCCCCCCGCAGCTTGAAATCTTACATCCGGCCTGCAGGTGTCCGCGTTCTGGATTCACTGGGCATCCTCGCACTCCGCTGGACGGGGTCGTCAGCACCTGACATGGTCAGATGGATTCGAGGCTTGTCACCATGCTGCACTCCCTGCACGGTCTAGCCGAGGGTTCAACGACCGATCGGCACACAGGGTGGGATCTTGGAGTGGCTGACGGTGCCTACTCTCAATCTGACCTCCGCTGCCCGCTGAAAGTCAGGCGACTCCCACGCAGCTGCTGTGAGTGCCTGGGCCTTGCGCGCTCATGCAACATCTTGCAATGCAACCTTCGCACCAAAACTACGTACTCTCGGAGAGGAAGACTTGTGACTTGTTGCTTGCTATGCTCGAGTTGATGTGTGCAACCTTCAAGTCTTCCCAAAGTGGCTTCAAACGCAACGGCAGACACCCGGAACGAAGGAGACTCTTCTTTGAAAGCGACAATAACAGAGTATACCGAGAGCCGCCTCCGGATCCTCAGCGCAAAGCTTCCGAGGCTCGGCCATGCCAAAGCATCCATCGCACCCCAGCGCAGAAAGCGCGCACTCTCCGATGTCTTTGTGTTTTTGTTTGGTTTGCTTTTTAATTTTAGAGTGTTGCAGGCAAATATGTACTTGTTTTCTTCGTCTGCGAGGGCGAGTCAGCCCAGGTCTGAGGGAGTTTGCGGCCGTAGCTCTGCTGGGCAGAGTCGCTCTGCAAGTGCGTCTTAGTGCTTCTGTTCAACATGGAACAGCTGGCTCAGAAGCTTGAGGTTACATGTGTTTAATTACATGCCAGACGGAATAACGCCCCCTTCTGGTGCATCCCAGAATGACAAAACTCATCACAAACCAGGGGCTACGACCTAAAGTCAAGCTCAAGGCGACTTCGCTCTGAGAGGGCGCGGCAAAGCAATCTCACAACGTGCCGTACTGCATGTGTGTGTGTGTGTGTGTGTGTGTGTGTGTGTGCGTGTGCGTGCGTATGTATGTATATAGATGTGGTGATGGTTTTTCGCGCGCACTTTATCAGACATGAGACTGCCTCTATCGCGTGCACACCAATATTTTATCAGCCATATGAGAGTCTTTATCATGCGCGAAAGCTGTCGATTATCAGACACAGCCATTTGCTCTACCGACGCGTGCGCTGATCAAAGCAACTGAGAATTCAACAAGTGCCATATGCATTTCCTTAGTCCCTGAAAACGCATCATGTTCATTTGCATGTGCATGACCCTGTCTATTGCCATACAAGGCGTAGCGCTTCGTACGGCAAACAAACCTCTTGTGACTAGCGGACGAGCCTCCGGGGCACGGCAGCACACGTAGCTCTATGCATTCTACAGACCCCTGCAAAAGCATAACGAGCTGCAAATCTAAACATATGCCTATCCTGCTGCTGACGGGAGGCCCGTGGCGGCCCTAAACCCCTAAACCCTGCTGGCGGCTGCCGTGTCTGTTGCCACATAACACTCGCCATGCATTTCTAGTGGACACCTAAATGCATTGCTGTCTCCCGACAGCGAGCTCCAGCTGTTCCTA